TGCCGTACCCAACCTTATTTCAGTCAATCAACTGAAATAATTCATCTAAATTCCACTCCTAGGTACTAAAAGGTTCTTAACCTGATCCCGACCTCATGTGGCCATAGCAACATTTTTGCATCCCACTCCAACACAGAATCATATAATTTTATATTACGCTATTGAGTTGTACCCACAATCCAGAGGCTTACAAAATTTTTCTTCCTTGAGCACTCCATGTTATTAATAATGAAGAAACAAAAAGATGGACTATTTCTAAAAGTTGAATATTTAAATGCTGCACAATTATAGAAAAAAATGGATTAGTCAGACTCAAGTACAGAATGTTATTTTTTAAAGTTTTAAGAGTTAATGATATAACCCAGGGCAGGAATAATACTCTTTTAACAGCACTTATTGTCTGCAAAAGATGTTTGCATTTTTTGTAATTAATTTATTTTTGTTATAGATGTTTCTCCTTTTTTCCCCATTGACACCCTCATCCCTGTTCCTGTCCTTCCCCAACCTTCACAGTATTGTTGTCTCTATCCATTGGTTTTGCATATATGCATATAAGTTCATGGTTTATCTTTTCCTGCCCTTCCTCACCTCTTCCTCTGAGGTTTGTCAGTCTGATCCCTACTTCCATATCTCTGGGTCCAGTTTTTTAATCAGCTTATTTTGTTCATTATATTCTGCAAACAAGTGAGATCATGTGATATTTGTCTTTCTCTGATTGGCTTATTTCACTTAGCATAATACTCTCCAGGTAAAACAGATGAAACAAAGGCAAGCTATAAAAGTCCTGGACATTTACTTAAATGAGTTTTGTGTTCCCAAGATTGGTCAGTCTCAGAAATAAGCAGTGCGTATTGGTGCGAAGATCACATGATCTGAAGTGTGCAAGCCAGAAGTCCCTCCACTGGTGGTTACTGTCCTAAATTCTAAAACTGGAGTTCTATTTTAGAGCAATTTACAGACATTTGATTCCTTATTAAAACAAAATCTTCCACTTCCATCCCATGGGTATCTGCCTCATTTATTATTTAATAACCTCTGAATAATTGTTTTCAAACTTCATTTTTAAATTATGACATCTTAGGTAGAAGACCATTTTAAAGAGACATCATAGTGTTATTTAGGATTAGAGCTATAATGTGGCTAGTTATCTACATTTTTGAAACTGATACTTCTATTTTGCTGTCATATGAGGATGGAGAAACTCTTATTTGGACTACCAAAATAAAATTTTAAAATAGATTTTTAATGCACCTACAGAATTAATAAAGCTGTTAGAGCTGTCTTCCTGTAAGGAAATATACATAAACCAATTTCTTCAATATACCTTATAATGTAATATTGAAGTAAAAGTTATAAAACAACAGAATCACTCATTTAGTGTTTATATTATTGCTTTTCTGCAATAGTCACAGAGCCCCTTTAAAGGTTTATTTGTAGCCTATCAAGAATCAGGTTTAATAAAATCATACTAAAGAAAACTTTGTTCAATGTATAATTGTATAATTGCCAGAAAGTCAAAATTGAGCTATGTCAAATCAGTTATCCTCTAGCATGAATAGATAAATAGATGGATAGAAGACAAGATGGTACTAAACATTTGTGATTTGTTTCTCCCTCAGAAAACAAAAGAAAATGTTCAATTGTGACAAAGTGAGACAGATTGCTAATTTTGTAATGATGGTACCCAAGATTAAGCAGCAATTCATTCATTCTCTTTGATGATACAGCACATAAACAAATGAAAGATAAAAATCACATGATGTATATCAATAGATGCAATAAAAGCATTTGGTAAAACCCAGCACCCATTTATGATAAAAACTCTTAGCAAAGTGGTAATAGAGGGATTATACTTCAACATAATAAAGGCCATATATGAAAAACCTACAGCCAACATCATACTCAAGGGCAAAAACTAAAAGTGTTTCCCTTAGGATCAATAATAAGACAGGCATGTCTGCTTTCACCACTCTAATTCAACATAGTACTGGAAGCCCTAGCCATAGCAATAAGACAAGAAGAAATAAATGGCATCTAAATGAGAAAGAAGGAAGGAAAACTGTTATTCACATGCTGTTGCAAAAGGTAAGATTTCCTTCTATTTTATGGCCATATAGTTTTCCACTGCATAAGTGTACCACAGCTTTTTTATCCACTCATCTACTGATGGGCACTTCAGCTGTTTCCAGATCTTGACATGACATTGTATATAGAAAACCCAAAAGACTCCAAAAAACTACTAGATCTAATAAATTAATTTGGCAAAATAGCAGAATACAAATTCAATATTCAGAAATTGGTAGCATTTTTATACAAAAATAATGCACTATCAGAAAGAGAAACTAAGAAAACAATCCCATTTACTATTGTAACAACAACAACAACAAAAGGTACCTAGGAATAAATTTAACCAAGGAGGTAAAAGACTTGTACCTGGAATACTATACAACACTGAAGAAAGAAACTGAGGAAGATACAAATTAAGTGGGAGCATATATCGCATACATGGATAGGAAGAATTAACCTTATTAAAATGTCTTACCACACAAAGCAATCTATAGATTCAATGCAATTCCTATTAAAATATCAATGGCATATTTCACAGATCTAGAAAAAATACTCAAAAAAATATATATGGAACCAAAAAGACCTGGAATAGCCTCAGCAATCTTGAGAAAGAAGAACAAACTTGGAAGTATCATAATACTGAATATCAAACTACACTACAAGGCCATTGTAATCAAAACAGCTAGCATAAGAACAGGCATGTAGATCATTGGAACAGAACAGAGAATCCAGAAATAAACCCACACCTTTATGATCAATTAATATTTGAAAAAAGAAGCAAGAGAATACAATGGAGTAAAAACTGTCTCTTCAATAAATGATGCTGGCCCTGGCGGGTTTGGCTCAGCGGTTAGAGCATCAGCCTGCGGTCCAGAGAGACCCAGGTTCGGTTCCTGCTAAGGGCATGTACCTCCGTTGCAGTTTGTCCCCCACCCTGGTTGGTCGTGCGGGTGGCAGCCACGGATGTGTCCCTTTCATGTCGATGTCTCTCTCTCTCTCTCACTCTCGCTCTCTCCCTCCCACTCTACTTGAATAAAATATGGAAAAATGTCCTCAGGTGAGGATTAAAAATAAAAAAATAAAAAAATAATAAAAATAAATGATGCTGGAAAAATTGTACAGGTACATGCAAAAAAATGAAACTTACACCATACAGAAGAATAAATTTAAAATGGATAAAATACTTAAATGTAAGTTGCAAAACCATAAAAAACCTAGAAGAAAATATAGGCAGTAAAATTTCAGACATTTCTCATAGCAATATTTTTGCTGATATATCTCCTCAGGCAAGGGAAACAAAGGAAAAAATAAAACAAATGGGACTACATCAAACTAAAAAGCATATGCACAGCAAAAGAAACATCAACAAAATAAAAAGGGACCCCACTGTGTGGGAGAACATATTTGCCAATGATACATCTGATAAGGGGTTAATTTCCAAAATATACAAAAAACTTATACAACTCAACACCAGGAAGACAAACAATCAAATTAAAAAATGGTCAAAGGATATGAATAGACAATTCTCCAAAGAGGACATACAGATGGTCAAAAGACATATGAAAAAATATTCAATGTCACTAATCATCAAAGAAATGCAAATTAAGACTACAATGCAGTATCACCTCAGAGCTGCCAGAATGGCTACCATCAATAAATCAGCAAACAAGTGCTGGCAAGAATGTGGAGAAAAGAGGACCCTAGTGCACAGTGGTGGGAATGCAGACTGATGCAGCCACTATTGAAAACACTATGGAGTTTCCTCAAAAAGGAAAAGTGGAACTGCCTGTTGATCCAGTGATCCCATTTCTGAGAATATATCCTAAAAATCCTGAAACACCCATTCAAAAAATATATGCACCCCTATGTTTATAGCAGCATTATTTACAATAGCCAAGAAGATCTGGAAACAGCCGAAGTGCCCATCAGTAGATGAGCGGATAAAAAAGCTGTGGTACATTTATGCAGTGGAAGACCATATGGCCATAAAATAGAAGGAAATCTTACCTTTTGCAACAGCATGGATGGACCTTGAGATTATTATGATGAGTGAAATAAGCCAGTCAGAGAAACACAAATATCATATGATCTCACTTCTATGTGGACTCTAATGAACAAAATAAACTGACGAACAAAATGGAACCAAAGGTATGGGTACAAGAAACAGACTGACAGCTGTCAGAAGGGAGGGGAAAGGGGCAACTGGATGAAAGAAGGTGAAGGGATTAGCCAGCGAACATATATGCATAGTCCATAGACACAGAAAACAGTGTGGTGATGGACAGAGGGAAGGGAGGGCGGGTGCTGGGTGGAGGTGGGCAAAGCACAGGGGGTAAATGGAGACATCTATAATAGTGTCAACAATAAAAATAAAGTTAATTAGAAAGATAAATAAATACATAAGAGTTACCCTTATATAAACTATGGACTTTGGATGACAATTATTTGCCAAGGTCTTTTCTTCAATTGTAACAAATGTATCACTTTGTTAGAAGATGTTGATAGTGGTGGAGACACATGAGAAATCTCTGTACTTTCTGCTCAATTTTGCTGAGCCTAAAACTGCTTTAAAAAATAAAGTTTATTTTTAAAAAGGTATATTATCTCTAACTGTGTCCACTGGCAGTAATGAACACTCCTAGTGTCTAGATTGTAGTATCTAATGTTTTTCTTCATAAAAATAAACCAAAGCTCCACAAAGAAATAAGTGATTACAAGGCTGGCAAAGGAAATATACAAGATGTGTCTGAAACATAACAGAAAGCAATAAAACTATTAATACTTCTGTGGCCATATCCAATGTACTCAAGACTCAAATTTAAGAGTTTTCTACTGGGCAAAGTTAGGGTGGTGTGACCTTCAGAAAGAATAACTGCAGTAGATTGAAATAAATCAAATGAGTTCAGAAATAATTTTTAAAAATACAGTTAGTAGTGCTCGCTTTGGCAGCACATATACTAAAATTAAAATGGTATAGAGAAAACTAGCATGGCTCCTGCACAAGGATCCCACTTAAATTTATAAAGCATTTCATATTTTGTGGACAAATGATTACTGCTCACTGTGGTGGTCACGTCATAAGGTATATAAATACCAGATCACTATGTTGTACACCTGAAACTAATTTAGGCTCATCTTAATTTCTAACTGTTCTGTCATTTTGAGTAATAGAAAGAAGTTCTGTTTTAAAAACCTGCAATTAATATTTATTTGAAAAGAATAGGTAGATAAAATATTAGGCAAATTAATTTCCTTGTAGGAACTTTGGGAGAAGAAACTTTTTAACTACCTTTAAAGAGGGAGGCCTGGAAACCTCAGAAATATTTCTGACTTATTGTAAAGAAGCAGATGTCAGGATAGCAGTGATCAATATTTTTTAAAAAGCAGTGCTACTAAACACAAACTTTATATGATAAAATAAGTTAAAAATAATTTAAATGCTTAGTAAAGCAGAAAACAATTCAATGAAACAAGCAATGAGATGGTGGAAGAAAGCTGAGAAAGATACAGAGATGAGAATGTTTTATTCACTCTCACTGTGGAGAGGATAATAGCTCAAATGGAAGATAAAGAATGCATAAGAGCTTAATGAATTGAAAGAAGTTCTATAATGTTCTACTGCAGAATAACTTCTTTTCACAATAATGTTTATATGGTAAGAGATACTAAGACTCTAATATGGAAGGACAGACTGATGACTAAGGTAAACACAAATGAAATGAAATGCATACCCAAGATATGAGTTTACCAAAGCTCGTTTGGAATTGTTAGGACTGATGATGCTTGGAAGATGCTCAGGAGACAAGTTTTGTAAATAGAGAAACTATAGCAATATGAAATAGTCAAAACTTGCATCAACTAAATAGTTTCTCCCCCAAAGGAATTCATGGTTTGAAGACTAGATCTAGTTAGAAATGCTAAAATATTGATGGAGGCTGGAAGAAAGAAGGTGAAGAGATTAGTCATAGAACATACATGGATAGCCCATGGACACAGACAACAGTGTGGTGAAGGCTGGGTGGGGGGAGGGGTGTAGAGGGGCAGGGTGGAGCTGGGCAAAGGAGGGAAAATAGGAGACATCTTTAATACAGTCAACAATTAAAAAAAAAAAAATCAAGCCTATGGTTTCTAGATGTGTTGCTGAGTATAGAAAATATATTCATATAAACTGAGCAATAAAGAGTATCCCAGGACCCTAGAAACAATTGTGCACATTTCTTTTGGAAATCATGTATACAACCAGAGCATCTTGAATAACTATACAAGAACTATAGATCATAACCGATTCAACTATAGAAAGATAACCCTGCTTATCATAGGAACGGAATTCTCCATAATGTCTGATAAATGTGAGGCCTACATTGCTGTATGCTAGATCTGTACTTTGACATAGCTCACAGATAGCAATAGTTAAAATATTAAGCACATACTCAAGCCAGATTGCTTTCATTAGAATCCTTGAGTGAAACAGTATCTGATGCACTTATGTTCTCATAATCTATTTGCTTGATTATTACATTAGGAAGTATTTTTAAAGGGTTACAGGGCTTTAATTTTATAAGCTGGGAAGAGATCTGGAGAGGGCTGTGGCGATGGCTGTACAGCAGTATTAACCTACTTAACATCACTGAACTGTATACTTAAAAATGGTTGAGATAGTAATATGTTTATTTGAACACAATTTAAAAAGGTATTTAAAAATTACAGAGACATTAGTGGGGGAAAATAAATATGGTGTAGAATCAAACCATAGTATATATTATAATTATTAAGGGATTAAGCAATGAAAAACAAAAAAAGAAACCGGACGCAGACAACAGAGGGCAAGGGGGTGGGGAAAGCCAGAAGAGGGGAAGGCGGGGAGACATGGTGACGGAAGAAGACGACTTTGAGCGGTGAATTCACAGTGCACTAAACAGATGTATTATACAGCTGTACACTTCAAACCTGTATAATTTCATTAACCAAATGTCACCCCAATAAATTCAATACAAATTTAAAAAATTATCATTTATAATTTAGAAACAGACATGAAAACTTAGGTATTAAATTTAGTAAAATAAAATAGAAAAATGCAAAGTTTTATCATGAAGCATTAAAAACCTTCATAGTACATTAGTGACATTAATAAACACATGCAGTCAAAAATACATAGTCTGGTAATAGTGAAAAAAGAAACTTTAACTTAATTGCCATTTTTATATATGAATATTTACATATAAAAATTTTCTCTGTGTCCCATTGTTTTTGTATCTCATGCATAAAGAAATCATTTTATATATCTGACACACTGTTTTGGGAAACAATTCTCCACGGTCTGTCATATTTCTGCATAACTTTGTGAGCAAAGGCACTAACTGCCTTTGTTCTATACTGTTTTTAAGGATGGTTGTATTGAAAATAGCTTTAGGAGAACATACAGTATCTCCCTTAGAGTAAGGACAGATTTCCCTTTTGAGAAAAGGACAGGTATAAGCAATTCTAATTTCCAAAGTCCAAGGTTCCTCTACTTTCATGGAATCTGCTGCATGAACAGTGTCATCTTGCTTCCTTCATGTCACCCTGTGGGAATTGTGACTTGGGAAGCTGGCACCAAAATGCTAATACTCTGGCTACTGTTGTGAGTGTTCCCATTGTAATCAGCTGGTTATTAATAACAGGAAAGGAGCAAAAGGGAGGCCAGACATGATAAGCATGGCCATCTGGGAAGCTTCACCAAGGAAGGTGCAATTTCATACTCCCCAGGGAACCACCAGTCCTTTCCCTGCAAATCACTGGGGGAAGGAATTGGACAAAAGGGAGATGGGCAAATGTGCACTAAAGTCACAGTGATGTAGGGAAGGTGCCTGTCAGTCTAACCTGGAACAGAGATCATTGGCCAGAGGGGGTGGGGCCACAGCAAGCCTACAAAAATTTGGGAATACATAATTCCCTAGACAAAGGAGCTCTCTCCCTTGGTTCTTAGCAATCTTGCTCTCTTGTTTCTCTGGTTTTGCTCCTGTTTCCTTGAATTCACCCGTGTTCCCTCCATAGCCATGTGGCCCTAGAGACATCATGGCCCACAGCAATGTGGACCCCATATGCAATGGACTGATGGACGACAGCTGAGGACACAAACTAATCTAGCCTGTTGCTGGATTAGACTATGCATATATGGAAAGGAAACTCTGCTGAAAGCAAAATGCAACATTTTCCTTGGCAGGATAGAGGGAAATAAGACCTTGGAAACTCAAGGGTCTAATCCCATGCAAATAAATATCACCCATTCTCTGGTGCAAGTCTCAGAAAATTCTTTTTCTTGTGACATCACAAGAAGCCTTCTTCCACCAGCAACTAGTGGGGACATGGAGAGCCCCACACTGATAACATGAGTAATATATGCTCTTCTGTCTCTTAACTAAAAATCTGTGTCTCTAATCAGCATCTATGAAACTGTCAGTCTAATTTGTTTTCTTGCACTTGGGTAAAGTCTCAGATCATTATTACTCTGTTAGATGTGTTTTAATTATGAAAATATTAAAAATAATTTAAAAATGTGTTTTATTTCTAAATATTTGAAGTCTATTTCATAGTTGTTCCTACAAATACTATTAAGTACCACAGATACTTTACTTGTGTTTCTTCAGTTCTGCTTTTACTTCTAATTTCTTGATTTTAATTATTTCCTCAAAAAGTATTACTTAGAGCCCTGGCTGGTTTGGCTCAGTGGTTAGAGCGTCGACCTGCGGTCCAGAAAGACCCGGGTTTGGTTCCCACTGAGGGCATGTACCTCGGTTGCAGTTTGTCCCCGGCCCTGGTTGGGTTGTGTGGGTGGTGGCCACCCCATGTATCCCTTTCACGTCGATGTCTCCCCCCACCCCATTCTATATGAACAAAGAATAGAAAAATGTCCTTGGGTGAGGATAAAAAAACCAAAAAGTATTACTTAGAGATCATTCCTACTTGACCAAGCTACCAAAGTTTAATTATGCCTAGTTGATGTACCTACTGGTGATCCAATCAGATATGGCTGAATATGGAGAGGGGAGGAGAGGAGATTGTGTAATACAAATATGACTTTCTAAAGCTGCCATCATGAACAGGGACACTAGAAAGAGCAGATTCTATTTTTCTGAAGGGTTTTTATTATTCTAGGCACTGAGACTAGAATCTCTTAGTAATTCATCCTGTTTAAATCACCTCAATAGCAGTTATTACCTGTCGATATCTCTCAGCCTCAATTTCTTTGTAACAAAAAAATTACAATTCAATAGTCAAATTACAAGTATGTTCTGAAAATTATTGAGCAAATGTACTGAGTTCTTTAGATAAAAGGTATTATGGATAAAAATTATTATTTGGTTTCAACACTCCTCTTGAAGGACGGCCTTTGTATTTCTCTCCAAAGAAAATGCAATTTGTTCCCAGTAGGGAAGCTTCTTTCCTGTTCAGTACTTAATGGTATAGGATGAGCACCACATCTCTCTAAATTATATTTCTCTCACTGCTAACAAATTTTGAATTGTAGGAGTCAATGTCTTCACTAGTCTCTCAGCAGGTATGGATTTTAAAATTCATGAAGCTTCTATTTAGATTCCTTCTCTCCCACTATTTAATTTTTAAATTATTATAATCATTTCACTAATTTGAGTTTAATAAGTATATGGAAATTACTTAGTCCCAACTAATATAACATTTTGTAATTAATTTTCTAAAGAACTTTATGAAACACCTGATGCAAAGATAAGCTTTGTTTTGTTTTTCATTTTTCAGTTTGGGATACATGCCATATGGAGGAAAATATGGTAAAATTACGAAGAGCTGAGGCTAAAGTGATAAACTACAGGTGGTTCTCAACTTTGCCTTGAGCTAGACTTAAAAATAAAGCCAAATAACAATCTCCTCTAATATATAAAAATATGAATGTCACATTCAAGAGCTGTCTCCTTGGCTTTGCTGAAAGCCATTGTTTTTCTACTGAAATGCTTTCATGCCCAAGCTCCTATTTTGAAGTATTTCCTTTATATTAAGACTAGAATCATTATACCTTAAAACAAATAT